ACCCCCCCCCCCCCCAAAAAAAAGCTCTACATCCGAAACATTTCTGGTCCTGAGCATTTTGGTTAAGGGATACTCAACCTGTATTCACATCTTATATGGTACCTTTGTCACAACTAACAAACCAGCATTGAGCATTATTGTTAACTAAAGTTCATACTCGTTCAATGATTTTCTTTTTAATCATTATTTTTAGGGTCACGCTACTTAAAGTGGAAATGCAAATTAGGTATGGAATTCTATGATTTGCTTTAAATCAGAAATAATAAAATCCCTGTCCTGTTTCTTCACAAAACTATAGGACGACCCTTTCAAAAACAAAGCCTTGTTATTCAGCAACAACACACAAGAACTGCACCCGGATCCTTTCCAGGTGGAGGACCCCTTCAAATCTGACCCCTTCAAAGGAGCTGACCCCTTCAAAGGTATCTCCGTCGGCACCCACTTTCTTATCGAAAGACTATTTTATGTCATGTAGAGTTGTTGAATGGCTAGAAAAGTTACGAAGTACCATGATCTGAAGTGGAGGAGGATAGGAATTCTTTGAGCCTAATCAGCCTCTTGAATTTCTTACCTCCCCCTGTTAACCAAAGCTTGGAGGCATCCAGTCGTATTGCGAAGAGTGCCAGGCTCACAGCGAGATGCCCTCGTTCAAGGGCAGCTTGGTTGGCTCTTAAACTCTCCAAAGCTTACAGTTTCCCTGTCCATCATCAGATTAATAAATTCTTCCTCACACACCTCACAGGGTTGACATGATTATCAGACACAGCAATAACTGTGGAAATACGTAGAAAACTACAGATTCCTCCATAAATCTAAAGTCTCCATCACACAGGATTACATAGAGTCACACAGAAGTCAAGAATAACTAAGAAGAATTCTGGAAACGAGATTTTCTTTTTTTTTTTTTTTCTCTAAAAGATGACCGGTAAGGGGATCTTAACCCTTGACTTGGTGTTGTCAGCACCACACTCTCCCGAGTGAGCCACGGGCTGGCCCTTGGAAATGAGATTTTCTAACTTCTGTCTGTAGTTCAGAGCCAAACGGTGTTTCCAGGAAGGCTACCTGTGCATTTCTGAGAAAAATGCCAAGGCAGGGTGAGGGCAGTGGGAGTTGTTTTCGAGTTTCAGATTTGGGGTTGAAGCATCTTAGGTCTGAGATGAGTCAGGCAGTTCCTGAGACTCAGGCATATTGTTCTCATCTTCGCTCCAGGGCTGGGTGAGGGCTGGGACAGCCCAGGGTCCCCTGTCCTCTTGCTGAGGGAGATGGGAGAGAGATGAGACAGACGAAACACAGTGTAGAAGAGAAGAAGGAATTCAGGTCTGTTCTCCATTCCTCCGACTTGCATCTGTTGAGCAGCCAGCAATACCTTCCCTTTCATCTTGAATGTTCTGGCCAAGAGCAGCTGCCTCAGCCAGGTCTCCCACTTTAATACGCCCAGGTTACTGCGGGCAGGGGACAGTAGAGCAGGAAATAATGTTTTCTCCCTAAATTGGGGAGGCAGAAGTCAGTGAAAGGCCTGGCAGGTGGGCAGCCGTGTCCACATGACCTGCTTCCTGTGCTGGTCTCCTGCTCTAGAGCTAAGCGGTTCTCTCCTCTCCAATATAGGCGACCCATTCCAGAATGACCCCTTTGCAGAGCAGCAGACAGCTTCGACAGGTAAAGTCCTTTGTTAAATGTTTCCCTTCCAGTCCCAGATCAAGTTGAGGAAAATGGAACAACACCTTCCAGCCTCTCCTGCCAAGTGTCCTAAGACACGGTACAGGAGAGGTTAGTTCCAGAAGGAACCTGGCAACACAACTTCCCCTCCCTTCTACGATCTGGTGTCCCCGCCTGCCAACCACATGGCACGCTGAGACGCAGACCTTGAGAAGAATCTCTGATGGCTTGGTAGTGATTTGTTCATGCTCACTTGTGCCATAGTCCCCTGTGTCCAGGTGTCCCATGTGATACCTGCACATGGCAGGACTTCTGTCCACACACACGAGGATGGTGATGGTGTAGACTAGCAAGGGCGGTTGTCCACACCGCACAGGAGCCTGGCGTCTTGTTCCCTTCTGGTGACAGCTCCGTGTGCACCCAGACCAGTCACAGTGCCTGTGCCCCACCTTTGGGCTTATGAGGGTGGGGGTTGTGGATGTGGTTGATATTGGGATCACGTTGCCTGCTAATTTATTTATTTGTTTATTCTTTTCTCTTTTGAAGTAAAATTTACACAACATCAAATCAAACATTACATTTACAGTGCTAAGCAACCACAGTGTCTGTCTTGTTCTAACACATTCTCATCCCTCCAAAAGGAGACTCCATCCCCATCAGCAGTCACTCCCCCTCCTCCTCCCCCAGGCCCTGGCAACCACCACTCTACTTTGTGTCTTGGATTTACCCACGTTGCTTATTATTATTTTTAAAAACGGCTTTATTGAGAGGTATAATTGACACATAACAAAATCCACCAATTTTAAGCATATAATAAGTTGAGTTTTGACAAATATGTACAGTCGTGTGAGATTAGAGAATCTTTCCCTCATCTGAATGCTATCACCCCCCTCAAGCCCCCCACCCCCAGGCCCACTGGCCGTCACTGACCTGCTTTCTGCCACTGTGGTCTTTACCTTTTCTAGAATTTCATGTGAAGGGCATCGTTCAGTTACGTTTTTATGCCTGGGTCCTTTCACTGAGCATAATGTCCTTGACTCACGGGGTGTTTTTCTTTCACTTTCCAAAACACCTCCTAGATCCATTTGGAGGGGATCCTTTCAAAGAAAGTGACCCGTTCCATGGCTCTGTCACTGATGACTTCTTCAAGAAACAGTCAAAGAATGACCCGTTTACCTCAGACCCGTTCACGAAAAACCCATCCTTACCTTCAAAGGTGAGTGACATGGGGAAGTCCTGGGGGGACCTGGGGCCTGCCCTGCACGTGTGAAGGCAGCCCCTCCTGATGGGTTGCCCCCTCTCTGTGGAGCAAGTCCCTGACTTCAGCTTCCCTAACTGCACTCGTTATGAGTGTGGCCCGTGGTGTCCACATAAGGCCAGCCGGAGGTTCTCTGGGAGCTGCTGTCACAGGCCCAGCTCATTCACGGATAGTGAGGCAGCCATCTGGCCTAGTCACTGCAGTGGCTCATCCCATGAGCCAGGTATCATAGCAGGTGTCCGGTGACCCCAGTCAGGGCAGCAATGTGTCCTTAATAGCTCTTATTCCTCTGTCCCTTTCTGTCCCCCCATCCCACACTCTGCTCTAGTCATCTGCCCTCGCCGCCACTTAAACCGGAGTCATCTGCCCCCACTGCTACTTAAACTAGAGCACCACATGCTCTCACAGACCAATCCGCTCCTCATCGCATTGCCCCTGCGATCTTTCTAATCCACAGCACTGGTGGTGCCATTTGGAGTCACACTGCTTCAGTGGATGTCCCCATCATAGCAGGAGGAAGCCCAGATGCCTCAGCCTGGCAACCTCACTGGGCACTTTCAAGAACATCAGCCAACTCTGATCCTCTAGTTTCCTGCCCGACTCCAGCACACCTGGGTGTAATCAACTGTGCATTTTGCACAACGTTAGGACCCACAGACTGGGTTTCACAAACACAAAAGTGGCCTTTTGTAATGGAGGGGAGGTTTTTTGTGGATGAGGGAGGGCAGTTCCTAGCCTCCCTTCATTTCCTAGGCTGCACCTCTGCCCTGGGTCCTGGTCAGGGACGGGCACTTGTCTCTCCTCCAGGGGTCTTGCTTCTTGTGTACCCACCCTGCTTATTCCCGGATTTTTTATCCTATCGACGGGCCTGTTGGTCTTTAGCACCTGGAGCTGTTTGAGGGCAGGGATTCATTTGTAATATTTTCTTATTAGTCCTTTTTTATATCTTTAAAAGACCTGTGGCGATAGTCTCCCTTTCATTCCTGGTATTTGTGATCTATTGATTTTGTTGATCTTTCCCATGAGCCAGCTTTTGGCTTTGTTAAATTTCTCTACTGTTTGTTTTGCGTCATTGATTTATTATTTTCTTCCTCCTCCTTACTTTGGGTTTGCTTTGCTCTTCTAACTTCTTAAGATTCAACCTTCAGTCATTGATTTTAGACTTTCTAATATAATTTAAAGCCATGTATTTCCCTCAAGCACTGCATCAGCTGCGTTCTGTACATTTTGATAGTTTGTGTCTTCATTGTTGTTCAGTTTGAGATATTTTCATTTCCCTTGTGATTTCTGTTTACCTGTGGTTTACTTAAGGTGTGTTGTTTCATTTCCGGCTTTATCATTTTTTCTAGGTATCTTATAATAATATTTAATTCTAATTAAATCTATTATTACAGAATATGTAATTAAATCTGTTTTTACAGAGCATGTTCCGTATGTTTTCAGTCTTTTTAGATTTATGGAAACTTGTTGTTTATGGCCTGTGTTGGTGAATGCATCACGTATACTTGAGAAGGACGTGTATCTGCAGTTATTTGATGTAATGGTTTTTGTTTTTTGATTATTTTTTTTGGCAGTTGGCTGGTGTGGGGATCTGAACCCTTGACTTTGGTGTTATCGGCACCATGCTTTAACCAACTGAGCTAACCGTCCAGGCCCTGGTGTAATGTTTTCTAAATACCGATTAGGTTGAAGTGGCTGATAGTGTTGTTTAGATTATGTGTTGTAATCGTTGCTTAGTTCGTTTGCTTTTTAGCTCTACTGATGGCTGAGAGAGGGGTATTATAATCTTCTCTTATATCCCTCTTTAATTCTGTCAAGTTTTGCTTCATGTATTTTGAAGCTCTGTGAGTCAGGTGCATACACGTTTATAATTGTTGTGTCTTCATGACGCAATGGCCTTTTAATCATTATAAAATGTTCCTTTTGATCTCTGATGATATTCTTTGTCTTGAAATGTATTTTGCCACGTATTAGAGTAGCCACTTTATCCTCCTCATGCTCAGTTGCCACATGATATGTCTTTTTCAGCCATTTCCTTTCATCCTACCTGGGTCTTTATATTTGAAGGATGTGTTTTGTAACTAGGAAATCATTAAGGTTTGCTTTTTTATCCAGTCTGGAAGTCTCTGTCTTTCTAATGGAGTGTCTAGTTCATTAACATTTAATGTAGTTATTGATATGGTTGGATGTAAGTCTACCATTTTATTATTTGCTTGTTTTTTATACCATGTTTTTTTCCCTCTGTTTCCCTTTTCCTGCTGCCTTCTGCATTATTTGAGTATTTTCTAGTATGCTATTTTATTTTATCTTTTGGCCTTTTAAGTATTTTAATTGTATCTCTTTTGATTATATTTTAGAGGTTGCTTTATGGATTACCATGTATAGTTTTAACTTTGCATAGTATACTTGAAGCTAATATTGTATAATTTCATGTGAAATGCAGAAAACTTGCGACCATATAGTACCTTTTATCCACCCCTCCCAGCATCTCTTACGTTATAGATGTCATATGAATGTCATATATATAAATATATTATAAACTCCGTAACAGTGTTGCAATTTTGCTTTAATCCATTGCAGGTATTTTAAAGAAATGAAGAGGAAAAAAGTAGTTTTTTTATTTTACCCAAATATTTACCATTTTGAATGCTCTTTGTTCCTTTCTGAAGATTGATTTTTCTTTCATGATAACATTTTCCTTCAGACTAAAGAACTCCCTTTAGCACTTCTTGTAGTGCAGGTCTACTGTGTTGTCATTTTAGGAGGATGTTTGTGCTTGACAAAGTATTCGTTTTTCTTTCAGCACTTTTAGGCTGTTGTTCCACTGTTTTCCAGCCTCCATTGTCCTTGATGAGAAGTCATTTCTAATAGTTGGTATCCTGTATGTAACATATTGTTTTTCTCTGGCTGCTTTCACCATTCTCTCTTTATCTTTGGTTTTCAATAGTTTGTGAGATATCTGGATGTGGTTTTCTCTGTATTTATGCTGTTTAGGGTTTGCTGAGCTTTTTGAATCTATAAATTTTTTTTTTACCAAATTTGGTAAGTTTCCAGCCATTCAAAATGTATTAGTAAGTTTGGTAAGTTTCCAGCCATTAGTTCCAAAATACTTTTTGTCTGTCCTGTTTTCTCTCCTCTTCTCTTTCTGGGATTTCAGTTACACACATGTTAGACCTTTTGCTCTTGTCCCACAGATTCCTGAAGCTCTATTTATTTTCTTTTCATTCTTTTTTCTTCCTTTTTTTTTTTCCAGATTGGGTTATTTCTACTGATCTGTCTTCAATTTCACTTAGTCTTTCCAGTATCACTGGTTATTTAGCTAACCTAGTAAAGTTTTTGTTCTAGATATTATACTTTTTCAGTTTTAGACTTTCCATTTGTTTCTTTTGTATAACTGATATTTCTCTGCTAAGATCTCCTGTCCTTTCATTCATTTTAAGTGTATTTTCCTTTACCTCATCGAGCACAGTTATAATCACTGCTTTAAAGTT